AATGTTAATTCATATAATTTCATTGCCTCGTTTCAAGTGAAGGCAGATTTTTATTAATGTAAAGTGTCCTTTGCAGCTTTTCATGATGACATCTTTTTAAGATGACAACCATTCATATGTAGGAAAAATAAAAAACTCCATTTGGACGGATTCCAGGCGAAAAATTAAGAATTGGGCGAGAAAAATAAAGAAAATGGATGGATGAGAAATTGAGTGGCTCGCGAGCCGACTCGAGCTCGTTTATAATTTGACGAGCTCAAGTTTGATCTCATCTTTTGAGCTCAAATCAAGCTCTAGCTCGCCTTCTGAGTAATGAGCTGAGCTCAGTAATGCTAAAACTTGACTCGTTTATACCCCTACCTGAAGTCGTATGTAGTGAGAGCAAAAGATAGCAGTTAGTCCTGTCTAAAGCAATAAATAAGGCTTAGTTGTCCTGTAGTGGAGGTAGATTTAAAGGGAGAGAGTTAGGTGGATCAATAGGAGGATCCTAGAGAGATTTTATTCTAGTGGTCAGCACAGCCCCGATCAGATCCATAGTTTGTAGTTTTGCTCAGCAGGAGTGAAAGAGGCTCTTGATGTGATGATATGTACAACATTAATATCTACACTATATATCTCAAATGATTTTGGATCACCTATGTAACCAACTTTTTTAATGGATAATCAAAGCATTTTAATAGGGACTACAAGTCTTAACTTCCTCCAAGCCCAATCAATTTGACAAAAATAATCAACACTTTTTCAATGAAAGATTAGAGCCTCACTATAAGAATTTTTGGCCTTAATCGCATCAATAGACAATACCTTTTCTAAGAAAATACTGATGACTCGTTATAGGAACTAGAGGCTTTGTCCACCTATAAACTCAATCCATCTAATAAGGAAAGTTAACACCTTTTTAAGAGAAGATTGGAGCATCACTATCAAGCTTTTAAAACATGATCATCTCCAAACTAGATTTATCTGATAAGGATAGTTAATATATGTTTCAAATAAAGACCAAAGCCCCATCATAGAGATAGCTAACCTTGACCACCTCCAAACATGATCCATCTAATAAGTACAATCAACAACTTTTTTAAGCGAAGATTAGAGCCTGATCATAGGAACTACAAGCCTTGATCGTCTCAAAACCCAATCCATTCGATGAAGACATTCAATAGTTTTTTCAAAGAAAATTTGGAGCCTCACCAAAAACACTAAGCCATGATCTACTATGTTTTTTAATATAATGCCACACTTTTTTTCCACCCATTTTGGAAATTAAAATTTGGAGCATATAAGGTAGAATATTGTCCCTCCCTGGGTGGGGTGAGAGAGAGAGAGAGAGAGAGAGAGAGAGAGAGAGAGAAGTTGAAAATATTTTTGAAATTTGTTTAAAATTCTTATAAATTTCTAGAACAATAATTGAGTGTTTTCTTCTTTTTTTAATTAAAAAAGGAAAAATTGTAAATAAAAACTATTGAGCCTACATGTGTTTGAAGACATGTGTTGATCACATTATTTTTAGGCACTAAATTAAAAAAAAAAATGTTGCCAACATGGCACCAGACATGGGAACTCAATATGCATGAGTGACCACTATAAGTAAGAGATGGCCAGTCAACTGGCCGGCTAGTTCAACCTCCAATATACTTCTAGTCCCCTTTTTTGGCCCAGACAATTTGATTCATATATTTTTGGAGTAATGGGAACCATTTTTTAACATTTCATGATCATTTTTTAGCATATTTAAAACCTCTAAAACTAACTTCATATTGATTTGAAAAGTTACGACAAAACATTTTAGCAAATTTTGATCTAATTAATGTGTCCCTTATAAAATTTAAAGTTATGTTTGAGAATGTTTTACTTAGTTCACAACCCCAAGGGTGACCCACATTGATTATATGGGGTGGTCATGTATCATAATTTTTTTAAAATTATAATTTAGCATCATAAAATCTTTTTGATGAATAAAGTGATACTTTTGAAATAATGCATACTCGACATCAAAAAATAGGAGGAAACTAATACTTCATCAAAAAATGACTTAGTTATGTCTCACTAAGCATTAAATTAAAAACTTTTAGAATTAAATTTAGGACTATCAAAATTATCATTTTAAAAAACTTAAAATAAACATCTTGATGAGATGAATCCATCAACACCACGAGTGATCTAATCAGAGTCCAAACTAGTCAAAATCAAGCACTTAAAATAAAATTAAAAATTTTAGAATATTTATTAGAGGACCTGATGATCTTCAAATATCACATATTTGTAGAAAAAGAAAAAAAATTGATGAGAAGAATCCAATGATCCTAATATTTCTTAATTTGACATCATTAAGGCACTTAAATACTAAAAGAATAGTATATGATCAATTAATATAGGACATTTGATGAAGTATTTTAGATCTTGGTTATATTTATATAGCATACCACTATAAATAGAATCTTATACAAAAGAGAATTTCAAGGTAGCTTAGAGGCATGAAGAATTCTAGAGCTCCACCAAATCACTACATAACTACCAATTTTAGACCATTGACTGATCATATCCAATAGACCACCACCTATTATTGCTTGATTATAATCCTTTAAAATTAGAATACAATCCTGCAACCACTTTTGCCTGATCCTCTGACTATCAATTTTTTATTGTGGTCCATTAATTATAGTCTCTAAAATACTGCCGCCTAGCAATTGTCTTCTAACCACTATTGCCCAATCGTGGTCCTATAACTATTGTCACAAGAGTGTAGACCATTATCGATTAACAACAGTATCTCGACAACCATTATAGACCTCGATCCTTTGACCACCATTGCCTCGCTATAGTCCTCTGACCACCATCTAACTACAATCCTTTGACCACCTTGCATGCCTATGATATACTCTTATCACTGTCGGTGAACTACAATCCTCTGATAATCATTACTCAACTATGATTTTTCTAACCACCATCACCCTACTTTGATCTTTTGACCACCATCACCTAAATATAGCCCTGTAGCCACCATCTCTTGGTTAGATACACCAAAAAAATTTCACCCTATCAGCATCCTTTGCCCATCATCATATGAATATAATCTTTAACAACCATTATAATACTCCAATCTTCTGACCACAATCACCAAACAATTGTCTCATAAACATAACCATTATCTTTCAATTGCAATCTCCTAACTAGTGTCACCCCCTTATAGTCTCACAACCATTGTCACCCAACTATATAAATGCCATCAAACATTATCGACCACCATCATAAATAGTGTACCATTATCTTTTGATTTATTACCTGACTACACACGGCTACACCAACTTTTCTTTTGGTGATAATGTGAAGTAGGCTGACGATAAAATATAACCACCATTCTTTAAAAAAATGAGGATGAAGTTCAATCTTGACTCCAATATCAATTAAATCTTAACGTATGTGTTGGTTATCTTTTGATTTATTACCTAATCTAATAAAATTTCAATAAAATCAACTAAATATCCTTGCTAAGTAGAAATAAAGTTTCAATAGCATCTTAACGTATTTGTTGGTTATTTCTTAATTTATTCCTTAGTTGACCTCTTGGTTCCACATAAATTAGCACAAGTTCCTTGATAAACAAGAATCGTGTGGCCTTGATGTCGAAGTAGTAATTAAACTTAACAAGTATCTAAAGCACCTTGTTGGAGTACTCGATTTAATGTCATCTAGGTTATTGCTAGTTCTAAGTTTTTAACCTCTAGCACCTCACATTAAAAACGAACAATAAAATTCCTTAGTTACTTGCCTTGCTTTTTCCTCATATTCAGAAGAACAAGAGAATTCTTCAATGACTTCTAAACATGGGTGATTTGAGGGACAAATTAATTCTTGAATTCAATGTATGAGGTAATAGTCCCAAGTAGAAGAGACAAAAACCATTTCAATAGTATTTCCTTAATGCTTCTAAAGAATAATTGATTCTTGAATGTATTATTGATATTCAAAGAGAAATGACCAACTTAAAATATGTGGCATGATCAAAGAAATCTAACATCCTTCATGTGAATCTAGTTTGGAGATTTTGAACTTTGATGGGAGTTGTGAATCTCTAATCTCTACAAACTGGCATTTGAAAACTAGTATAGGCACATCATAGTATGAGGGGATAACGAAATATTAATAATACTCCTTTTATTGAGGTTAGTCTTGATAATTGTTGGAGTAGAGATGAGTGCCTTGAAACTCAATTATCACCTATGACTTATAGAATTATAAGATCTTTAGAAAGAATCTCAACATGAGAAATGATTCTCAAAACTCCCATGTAAATTTCTTGAAATATTCTTATCAAGTGATCCTCCACTCAATTTACAAAATAGTGATAAATCTTTTTGCCCATTTTTAGAGCTCTCCATTTCATCAGGATGATCCATTGTTTGGCTTCTTATTCTAGGCATTTTTCATGCTCGCAACATCAACAAGATGTAGGATCTAAGTTTATTTATCTTTGATGCCAAAATCTTACGAGCAAGCGCAACAAGCCTATTATAAAAAATAGAGAAAAGAGAAAACTAAAGAAAAAAACTTCCAATTTTTCATTCTTTGACCTTTTCTTTTAGGTTTAAATCAGTGTTCAATGCAACATGAATGATTACATTTGAATAGTACAAATAAATTTATATAAAAAGGCTTAGCAATAATGCAACAAAAATATATAAGTCCTAACTGATAGCCATCCAAGCACTTCGATAACTCTTGCCAAGTTCTTAGCTAAGGATCAAATCATTTGAGCAAAGGTAACTTTTAAATTATTTAGCAAACTCAGTAGCAGTTAGTTTCTCTTGGCTAGTTCATTCTAAGTGACCAAGAAGCCGTAAGTCATTTTAACAACTTCAGTTGTTGGTTCATTAAAACAGCTCTCTAGTACAAAAATTAATTTTTTTGTACTAGCAAGCTATTTTAAGAAGCAATAAGAAAGACGTCCCAAACGAGGCCATAGTTTGAACTACTGAGTTGTGCAGCAAAACATTTTACTTCTTTGAACTAATTGCATTAGTAATATGTCATTGGTACTAGCATTCAAGCAGACACCACTGGATGATCACATAATAAGCTAACATTTTAAGAAAGCATTCAAAGAAGAAACATCTGAATGGGAAAAAAAATAAAGAACAGCAACAAGAAGTACACATGTTATCAAACTCTTCACTTTTAGTGTAACAGAGAGCATTGCTTCATCCTCCTCACTGCATTATAAAGTGGTCGATTGGGTCATAAGATCCTGCACAGATAAAACACCTTCTAATAATCACAACTTTCCATTTATCCCACCACAACAATTGCAGAAACATGAAGATCCTTTCCAGCAACCCAAAGAAATTAATCCTTTCCAACTGCAGCAGCAGCAGTTTGAGCAGTCTGGCTTCTGGATTTTAATCCTGCAGCAACAATTTGCTGTAAAAGTAGTAGTACTTTTGATGTCTGCTCTTGGCTTTTGAAGACTTTGACGCAGCTTCTTTAGCCTTTGCACTGTAGTAGCATTTTCCATCTCCTTGATGAAGTGGGAGAGGTGGACGATATAATCGGGGTAGAGCTCGAGGTTGCAATGTGTGCCGCCTTTGATCCACAAGGGCTCGTAGGGCTCTCGGGCCAGCTTCCACAGTTTATTTCCATGGAGCCAGTTCACAACTTCATCATCAGTTCCCTGGCCGGGAGCAGAAAGTTCAACATTAACATATAGTTATTATGTTAACAAAGAGCAAGCAAATTCAAATTTAAGTTGTCAACGAGTTACCTACATGGATTACAAGCACTGGGCATTTCACCTTTTTAATCTTGTTAACATTCTGCAAATGAAGAAAGCAACAATTTAAACAGGGAATCATATGTGACTATGAGTTAAAGAAAAAAATTATCAATGCCAAAACTCACTTTATAAATATCCATGCAGAACGAGAAATTTACATGACATAAAACCCGAAGGCCGGATAGTATTGCACTATGAAGCACAACACCTCTCAATCTTGGCAAGCGTGCAGCCAAGTGTAATGTCGGTCCGCTACCGAGGGATTGGCCATACAATACTAGATCTTCCTGACTCACTCCATATTCAGTTTGAAGGCACTCATAAATCGCTTCTATGTCTGCATAAGTGTTTGATTCACTTGGCTGGACATCATGAAAAGAACATAGAAACTATAAATGATATTTCTTGAATGTATACAAGGAAGTGCAACAACAGAACTAATAACCATGAGAAAGCTTGAAAGCGTAGAAGCAAAGGAAAAATAGGAAAAAATAGGAAAAAAAAAAAAAAACCGAAGTATTGCATGTGAACTATGGTTTCTCAAATGGGAACCAAAACTCCAGTAGTAGTTGTGTGAATATGTTTGCATGATAAACATTGTCACCTTTTGCAAACGATTAGAGATTAGATAGCTTCATTGAATAATAAACTTTCTAGTGTTTAGAGTAGGGAAAGTTGTACCTTACCAGACGAAGCCCCATACCCTGAGTAGTCATATCTGCAGAGTGAATAAAGTATTAAATTAAATAGTTAAAGCAAAACTAATTGATCTCAAATTATAATCAATAAAACAACGTTTACTGATATGGGGAACAATTCTCCTATCAAAATTTATTTGAATAGTAATCCAATCTAAATAACAATTTTTATCAGATTGACTAAAATTATCCACAACAAAGAACATAGGAAGGTAGAATGCTTATAGAAGAAAGTGGAGCTATCCAAATGCTTTGCCTTTGTGAAACATAAGAAGTGTACAGAGTCTAAAGTCAACGAAAATAAAAGAATTGTTCACAACAAAGTAATTAAAACATCATGATTATTGTCCTTAAGCCAACTACTAGTATCTGACATCATGAATGCAAAATTTGGTGCTAAATCTAGTTTTTTGCATATCTGTTTGCACAACATTTAGCCAAATCATCATATTCATTTTCATTCCCAGCCTCATCACATTAGTTTTATCAACTGAACTTATTGTTATGCAACTCATGAATACACTAGTTAATAAAGGCACCGCTTTGCTTTGCTCCATGAAGCAAAAATGAATCCTTGCACTTGCATTACAGTCAACATTTAAAGGCACTGATTTCACCCAAAAAAAAAAAAAGAGGATTGCTCACTTAGAGGATAAGCTTAGGGGTTCAAGACAAGAAGACTAAAGTGAAAATCGTAATCTCTAAGGTAAAATAAATTTAATGTGTAAGCTGAATTTAATATATTTTATTATGTTTGATTTAACAATAGCCTTAAGGATGATGAATACAATAAAATTTGATCGAGATATATGTTATTGAACTTACAAAAAATATTTTATGATTTTTGACTATTTAATTGTGTTGCTTTAAATTTATTTAATTAACTTCCTTTTTTCTCATATTTGAAAAAGTAGTTTAAACATTATTATATTTGCAATTATAAGCATAGTTTGCTAATAGCTATGATGTTGGTCACATTTGTATGACCTGAAGTTCAAGTGATCTTAAATTTTTCATTATTTTCATCAGATTTGCATTATAGGTTTAATTATGTTAATTATATCTTTGATTTGCTAGTTTAAGAAAATAGACTTAATTTAAACATAATTAATATTCTTCACTTATGTATTTTATGAGCTAGAAAATTAAATAACTTTAAAATGGTTTAAAATTTTCGTCAAATTTCTGAAGTACAACTATTTAAGTTAATTAAGTGATAATTCAATAATTATATCATACTTAATTAATTTAAGTTTAATTTTGATTGCATTTAGTCTAAAAACTTGTTTTCATTCACTTTTATATATAATATAAAATACTTTATTTATAAATTTATTTTTTATTTAATTAAAATTACATATATATATATATATATTGGGAGAGAACGATCCTCCTCTCGAATAGAGGATCAATTGTATCTTGCCATTTTCCGTTTCTATTTCAGCAAATAACATAAATTTCTACTATTTTTTGGTGTTGTGTGGATTTTTGTGGAGAATTCTCGTTGTTTTCATGAAGATTCATAGGAAATACTTGACATCTACAAGTGTTTCCTATCAAATTGGTATCAGAGCACATCGATCGAAGGGGAACTAATGGACAGAAGGAAAGTGAAAGTTTTGGAGGGAGAACGTAGGCAACTCAAAGCAAATTTTGAGGAAAAGATGACTGATTTTGAAATTCAGATTGCATCCATCAATAAAATGATGGAGGAAAAGTTTGCTGTGGTGGAAGACATATTGAAGAAATTGCTTGAAGTCAAAACCAAACCGGTGACATCGAAAGCAAAGGAAACTACCGGCGGCCATGGAAGAGATGGGAATCCTAACACGTCTAAGGGAAGGGAAAAGCCAAAAGTGGAGATCCTGGAGAGAGAAGACGGAATGACTCATCTAGAACCAGTTTTTAGGGAGGAGATGAGCATTGGCTACGCAAGAAGAGGTGTTGAATTTGTAAGGAGAGGGGATGATTTCGATTGCCATGGTGCTGATTTTGAAAGAAGAGGGAATTTTGATGAATGGCTTCGGTATGATCGTCGGAGGGAAGATTGTGAAAATTGTGGAGCACCTCCGCTTCGAGGAGTGGGAGATTATGAAGGATTTAGGGGAAACGGGTGTGACCCGAGGGTGAGGAAACTAAAGATGCCAATCTTTGAGGGGGAGGATGCACACAGGTGGGTCTACAAGGTAGAAAGATATTTCGCCATCAATGGGATGACAAAAGAGGAGAGATTAATGGCGGCGGGCCTATGTTTAAAAAGAAAGACTTTGTCTTGGTATCAGTGGAGGGACATGCGATGACCCATATGAAGTTGGAGAGAGTTCAATGATTGTTTGGTAGAACATTTTCGAACTGGCAGGGGAGAAGATTTCTATGAGCAATTATTTGCCTTGACACAGGAGGGTTCAGTGACAGAGTACCGGGAGAGATTTTGTCATGACACCAGAAGCACAAAGGGGAGTGCATAGCCTTGAAGTTTTCTTAACACTTCAAAGGGTCTAATTTCAGTGGGCTTGAGGTGGTGTTTGAAGTGGGCTTTGGATGGGCCGAGTTAGTGGAAGAATTAAGAGGGAGATGAAGCTGTTGGGCTTTTGTTCTGAGTGGGGTGTGAGGGTAGATTGGATGTGTGAGCTACTATAGCTGAGGAGGACAACAAAGGGGTTGTTGTAGTTGGGCTCGGGCAAGTTGTTGAAGAGCAGATTGGATGGTTTGATTGTTGGAAGCGTCGAGATCACAAGCTTTACTTGCGAAAGCCCGTCCTGCGGCTGTAGGAGGCGAAGTAAAGGGAGATTCATCTTGGTTGAGGTAGAGAGGATGTTCGTCCAGCACAGGGAAGGGTGTCAAGGAGCAATAGAAGGAAATGAAGAAGGAATATTTTCATGCTGAAAAGATGGAGATTCAAGAAAAATTTTGAAAAAATGTTTTGCATAAAGTTGCTAAAGAAGGAGAACAAACTGATCCTATGGATATAGAGTCTATGCCACTTTCCGTTCCAATTAAGGCATATGATGATCTTGTTGAAGATGTCATAGATATTCGTACTAATCAAACAAGACAAGGAGTGTACCATTGATTCTTAATTAAATGGCGTAACATCCTTTGTCCGATTGTTCTTGGATTAGGGCTGTGGAGTGCAATGTCGTCGTCCAGATATCTTCTAGCGAGTTACTAAGGCATTCTCATCAGGAGATGAGATTCTTCCACCAGGGTAGAATTGATGCAGTCAAAGCTACCTTTTTTTAATTTTATTTATGTTGAATTTATTTTCTTGCTCTTTAGTGGCTAAATGGATATTTAATTTTGGGGTTGCTTTTCCTTATTGGGCTTGGTCCATTTCTTTCCATGTAGGCTGATTGTTTGGTGTTCCCCATACAGATTTCAAATTCCCTGCTGTTTGTTTTCCATGTAGATTTCAGTTTCCCTGCTAGCCTTTGGTTTTCCCAGCCGAGGCTTCAATTTCCCTGCTGCTGGCCATTCATCTCCCCACCTTGTTGATTCCTAGACTAGTGTTTTTTAAGTTGCATCAATTTTTATTCTTCAAAATTGCTTTTCAATGCAGGATACAATTCAAAGATGTACAGCTCAATATATTCAGTCAAACAGAACAAATTATAATGGCTTTGAAAGGTGAATTCTGATTCAAATTTCAAAACTAGAAGCCTTGAATAAGGTAAACTTGATATCAAAGAAGAAATCAAAAGTTTTTTCAAATTAGAATGATTTGACTTTCAGAAATCTCAAAAGCACAAGCTGGTATACACCCATAGAATATAAAAAAATTGTTACCATTCATTAAAAGGCGCCAGGTTGAAGCTTGCTGAGCTCTGGAATTACAACTTATTCATAAGCATGAAAAAACTTGATATAGAAATAGTAAAAGTGAATAAATAAAAACATATCTGTGGATTAAATTGCAAAAGTATATTACTCATAGGTTCCAATAAGAGACCTGAATCTCAGGCAGCATAATGGACAAACAAAATTTAAAGCTGAGGAAGCTGATGAAAAAATGCATCATGTAGTATTGGTAGGTCCATGGTTGAGTAGGATGAGCTTATAAAAATTTGGTTATCATGTAGCTTCTGTTTTTTTACTCCAATGTTAGTTCTAAATTATCATCTAGATCAAAATTTTTGACTTAAAAAATTAAATTGCCTTTTTATGAGAAACTTTAATGCATATCTATAGTGTGCCAGATCAAGAATGGGCCTTTATAAATTAAATATATAATCAATTCATCAGGATTAAGATAATATACTTATTAATCGGATTAGAGATACCATGTACATTAGTTATGAAATATCTACAATTCAATTATTTTCAACCAGAATTAAGCTAAAAGTTCTGTTTTGCTGAAAACACTTATGTTTTGCAGAACAAATTAGCAAGATAAGAATAAGAACAGAATTAGTATAAAGGCATTTCAAAGGCCAAACAAACTGCTAAAGAATTAAGCAAATGCAATGCAGATGTTAAACAAAGTGATGCATAAACTACTGTAGAATCCACTAACCCCATCAAATTAACCCTGAGATTAACCTTGAGCTGAGCAAAGAGCTCATAGAGCTGTCCAAGATCAGTAGCATTGCCATGAGAGTAGAGAACTGTGAGCCTTGCATATGGATTTCGGAAATAGAATGCAACAATCTTGTTTCCCCTTCTGTTATCGACCATTAGCACGTCCATGGAGGGGTCCCTAGGAATGCCAGTAACTAACAGCTTCCCTCCACGAGCTTCATCCTTCTTGATGCCATAAGTAGGCGGATGTGGTGGAAAGAAGGCAAACTTGGCTGCTAAATCCGAAACCGAGCATCCCCAAAACATTGAGGGAAGCCCAGCTCATTGACAAAGGGGAAATCACAAAGCGGCTGAGAATTTTCTGGGGTTTGTTGAAAAGGGGAGCTTTTTAAATGTAGATTTATGTTGAGGTATTGAACGTTGAAGGAAAGGAGCCTTCTTAATGAAAAGACAACTGAGGAGCTCCGGGTTTTGGGAGGGTTTTGGCGCCCAGTAAAGCTTCACAAGGAAAAACGAGAAGAAGCTACAACGAAGAAGAACGTGGGGTCACGCTGGTATATGCCTACTGATCCTCAACTGAAATCCAAAATCAAGGCAATATATAAGGTTTTTCACTTAACATTTCGAAAGCAGGGTTTTTGGAAGTGGGGTTTCGAATCAATGGAGTAAATGAGTCTCCATCGAGTAAACTGCTTAAGTGAATGCTAGGTACCTGCAATGGCTTTAGGAGAATAATGCGGAATAGAAGAAGAAGATGCTCGGATTTTAGCTGAAAAGCCTCTCCTCCCCTTCTCTCTCTCTCTCTCTCTCTCTCTCTCTCTCTCTCTAATGCGTATTATGAAGGCTTATTAAGAAATTGGTTATCGAAGCAGAGGATGAAGTTTGAAAAGCTTGGAGTTGGATTGAGCTAACTTTTTTGCCGGATTTTGGTAGGAAGAAAGTAACAAGAAGATAAAAGTAAAAGGTTAGTCTTTTAGATGAGCTGCAGAATGGTTAGAACTACTGATAAGGATCCTTGTTAAATTTGACAATAAAAATCAGAGTTTTGCTCAGAAACATTCAGAATGAGAAGCGCGGAGATGGCATGAAATGGCAAGCGGGTCAGAGAGAAGGAAAATGGATACCGTTAGATCTCTCTCTCTCTCTCTCTCTCTCTCTCTCTCTCTCTCTCGCTCCTTCTCTCTTTCTCTCTGTCTGTGCAGTTCCACTGGTGAGATAGCTCAAGTGGGCCTTCCTTGTAGGTTTTTTTGGGGTTGGTTAAGGAGAAGAAGGGTAGGGATGTAGGGGATTCTAGGGTTTTTGAAGATTCTCTCTATCTCTATCTCTCTACATAGATTTGTCTTACAGCCCGCGTGCGCCTGGTTGCAGAGCTTGAAGGTGGGGAAGAAAGCAGGACACAAAAAGGCTTCCTTCCATTTATTAATCAGACTGTTCTGTTGCTTTTTCTCTGGCGAGCCAAGCAAAAACAGTAAAATTATTATTTTATATTGAGAGCTTAAACATTTAATTAAGAAGTTTTAAATATTCCTTTAAAATTAATAAAAATAAATTAGGTGAAACTTATTATCAACATTTAATAATTGTGAAAAAATTAATAATTCATTGCTTAAAATAGATAATTATTTTTTTAAAAATCATTGATCTTTACTAATAAATTATTTATTTTTCTATGTTTTATATTATAATAAAATTATTTTTTGATTTATATTCTTAATTTTGCATATCCTATCAACATAATTAAATTATCAGATAAATATATTTAAATTATGAAACATTAAAGTTAAATTATTAAGGATTCATATATATATATATTTATCATGCTACAAATATATATTAATTTTTTTTTAATTTTCATTAAAATTAAAAGTAATTTTGTCATGATACAAATATATTAACATACCTTAATATAATTTTGTTTAATTTAATACAATCAATATTTTAATTTAGGATCTGACAAAAAATTTAAAGAATTTACCAAAGACAATTAGTATCATTAGTGCCGCATTGCTTGGCGGGTTTTGATAATGGAGAGAGAGAGAGAGGAACGAGAGATGAGAGATGAAGAGAGAGAGAAGAGAGAGAGAGATCCATAAGTAATCCCATTGCTGCCATTGAATCTGGTCAAGGATAGCTTATCGAGATTAGGGACGTATAAATGCGCTATTATTGTTTATTGATAGGATTCATTCGGAAGCAATTTATTCTTTTATTTTTTTAAAGAGTGAAGCTTCACTCTAAAGAAATTAAAAAATAAATGATAATTCAATTTATTTAAGTGATCTAATTATATGTATATATATATATATATAGGAAGATGAGGATATCTTATTGAATTTTAACTAGAGTGAATTTTTAAATTATTAATTTATTTTGAGAGATGCATAATATAAAAAATAAATTAGAATTATCTTAAAATAAATTTCAATGTACTTAAAAAAATGAATCAAAATAGTTTGAGCCAAAATATTTATATATTGTTTTGCTAAAAAAAAAAGAAAATGTTTCATTTTTTTAAATAAAATGAACTAAATTTAATTTGGCATGATTTTTTAGCGTAATAATTCTCTTTAATAAAATTTTATATTTAATGGATAAAATTGTGTAAATTTAGGATATTAAAATGGTTGATGGAAGAAAATTTATCAATTGATTTGTCATCAAGAAATTACCTTGATTAGGCACGAACCTCAATGTAGATCTGAATTGAAAACTTTTAGAATTAATTTCGGGACCATCCAAACTTTGATTCTAGCAAGCATATAGTCAAATTGAACATCTCAATGAGACAAATCCAAGACACCAAATTTGATTCAATCCTAGCCCAAAAGAGCCCAAATTAAATGACCGAAGCTTATTTGAAAGTTTCAACATATTAATTAGATAACTAAATGATATTTAAATATGACATGCTTATAGTTGAATCGAGTGGCTCGATGAGACAAATCCAACAAGCCTAAGATCACTAAATTTTGTTATCATTAGGACATATAAATATTTAAAGAACGTTTCATAATCAAGCGAATTGATATCAACTGTCCAATGGAACACCCTAAATTTTCCTTGAATTTTCTTTATATTTACTGAGCATGTCACTCATAAAAAACTATAAATAGAGTACTATTCTTCACATGAGAGGGGGGAACAAGAATAAGAGAAGAGCTATGAGGCTTGAAGAATCTTAGAGCTGCACCCCGACACTGCTGCTGATGAATCCACACCACTAAGTCGGCACTATTGGACCTCTGCCAAACTATCATCATTGGACCTCCATCTAGTAATAACTGCCAGCCTTCCTCTTACAATTATCAATTGCTGATTACGGACCCTCAGCCCATATTTGGTCGACCGTGATCCTTTTGATCTTCGCTGCCCTTCAACTACGGTTATCTACCATCATCATCCAATTACGACCCTTCTGATCTCCATCGCCTACCAACTGTGGTTCCTTCGAACATCATTGCCCCTCGACTACTACCTCTCCTTTTTCCCTTCTACACACAAACAATGACACTTGCCATAGATATGGCCAATGAGGGGGCGTCAAACTGACATTTAGAAACTCATTCGCAATCTACAATCATTCTACAATATTAGATTAAGATGAAGCACATCATTGTATGTACACTTTCTGTGATAAGATTTAGAATTTTAAAAGTTCCTATTATATTGACAAATCTCATTTTTATGAGCCATTTCCAAATATGGTTTCTCTTAAGGAGGCAAATGTTTTGATATAAAAGATGAGCATGTATTCACATCATTTTTTTGAGTTATTGTAAATTAGATTTATAAACATTCTCAATGTTTTTTATATCAATTTGACCTTCAAATTTTTGATCTATTCATATTTAAGATTTATGGCATTGATATTATGATGATTATTTTGTTTGAAAGTTAAGGACTTCATTAATAGCTATTGTCATTAGACCATTACCGCTTAATAACTAGCTACTTGGCCCAGTCTGTTACAATCCGAGAGCTCGAGCTTGTTTTTTGAAGATATAAATACTATTGAATGTTTATTGAGTTTCTCCCACTTTATATATTGAATATTTTTTCTGTGTGCATCATTAATATTTTATGTTCAACATACACAAAAGCATTGTCAAAGAATCGGAGCTCAATAAAGGATATTATAGGTTAGACTTATTTGAAAGAGTCAGTAATTATTTTTTCTTGAGTAAATATATTTAAAATGTGTATGTAGCTTAGCAATCATACACACACAAATAGTGAAAAATAAATATTTTAATTTTTGGTTAATCGTATTATGCGATCAAAATTATACCGTACGATCAACCAAAAAAGAAATTAATTAAAACGTTTAATTTAAATAAAAAATAAATATAAATCATAACTAATCATACTGTATGAACACCACATCATATGGGACGGTCATCAATAACTAGAAATCCCGCCGTCAAATCTAGCTTACCTAAAATAGGCAAATTTGTAATCATATTAGATGATCTTCAATGGTATTGAACTAAAATTGTATGATCCCTTTATCATATTGTACAAACAGAGTCGGCATAATTAAATTATTAGGGTTTATTAAAGCCCTTTATTTAAGCTTTCTTAAAAAACTTTATATAAGTCTTTTGGCTATTGGTGTTGAAAGTAGGTTTTAAAAATATTATCTTTCTTTGGAGAATTTTAAAAATTATCGTTGAATTCTAATTCTAAAAGCGAACATCCCATCAGAAAAAGTATACCACCTCGGGAGATGGAAATAAAATTTTAGGATGGGGTTCAGATTTAGAATTGTGAATCTCATCTCGAATATCGTAATCAGATTTAAGGGAAAACTTCGTATGGCACCGGAGGGTCAAAATGAAGTTCAACCAAATATCTAGCTATGATTATCCGTAAGGATCATCGTAAAGTTTATATTCAAAGCTTCATCAACAAAAGATATCTCCCCAAAAGGGAGAAAATATCATTTGCTATTAATTCCTCCAATATGACGATAGAGATCATCAACGATTCAAGTTTCCCCAAATAAAACTGATTAAGTTTTGAAAATTGATGTGGGTTCTAAATCTCCAACGAGTGTAAGCCCTTGTAGTTAATTACATCGTAGGAAATCAAAACTTCCTATGAATACTCTCGATTAAAATGTTAGTAAAATTTTGTTAAAAGATATTCTATAAGTGATATCAAAGGAGTTAAATCTTGGAATTTCAATAGGGAATGGGGCAAGATTGAATACTTATTAGTGGGATCAAAAGAAGAAGGGTAGGGGACACTTTAGGATGTTGGAATAATCTAGAAGTGTCCCAACATAATCTAAGTGTTGGGCTTTAAGTTTTGGATTGAAAGAAAATTTAATTTGAGTTGAGTATTTTATTAGAAGTTTGGGATTACATTATTAGATATTGGGGTCTTATGATTCAAAATCTATCCCGGATCATAAATTTAAATTAGGCACCACATAAAGATGACCCGTGCCTAACTAATGCAATACAAAATCTAGACTTATCCTGACCTAGATTAGGGAGCCAACTAACCACCTAATCGATTTTAAATCCATAAATCCGGTCATTTTATGAAAAAATGGTAGGGACATTTTTATTAAAGTTTTAAAAAGTTGGGGTCGACGTCTATAGATTATTCTAAGTGGCCCCTTGACTTATGTTGGGTGAAAATACTAAAGACAGATGCAATTAAAATTTAGATTCTTTTAAATATATTTCTAATGCAATGCATGCTTGTCAAAATACTCAAATCATGAATGTTTGAAATTTTTAAAGGTTTAAAAATAATTTTTAGAAGGCTAGGCTTACTTAAGTTCAACACCTCATCCTCATAGGTCAGATTATCTAAACTTTACTCACATGCGGGAAAGTATTAAAATAAGGAAAGAATAATGCATCGATATGCATGTGACCCTGGATGATCTCCAGCTTATTTCCTAGATCGTTATCTTTCTATGTTATTTAAGTCCTAAAATTTTAAATGTTAGTTATGAGTAGATGAATTTTTATACCCTCATGAGCCTCACGTATCCATGCTAAATCAAAAGAGGCACACAATCACAAAAAAACTTAAAAAAAAAAAAATAGACAAAATCCTAATCGCAATCACATGAAATCAACACTTCAAATATAATCAAACTAATTAATAAATGTTCATAAGAAAGCTTCCTTGCTTATTATAACCCAAATATATAGAAATTAAAAATGGCTGGGACCACTAACCTTAATCTGGATTCTAATCCTAATATATACGTAAGTGACTTTCCATGGGATATTCTTTGTCTTCTATTTTTCATTCTTCTCTCATTCGGGCTCCTTGGATTCTTTGTAGCGGAATACCCAAATGGGAAATAAAACTCTTCCCTGAAGGGGAGGTTATCATTTCCACTTTAGGTATTAGAGTGATCCAACTTTGGTCTTCCAAATGGAAAAGGGCTATCCCCCGAAGGGGTATCCTTTCCTCTTTGG